ACAAATGAAAAGGAACATGAGGATCATGCAAAAAGTTTTCAAATGAAAATGAATCAACCAAAAGAAATCATAAATCAAAATTTAAATCATAAAACCAAATCATCATTGATTTTCAAAAATCAAGAGAGGCCACCATATCTAGCTCTTGAGCTAATAATAACCCATATAAATATTTTTAGCACCTGGTAAACAATGTTTGGGAATAAACACCCAATAACTCTGGAGGGTTATATAAACGTAGTCCTCTCATCAAAAAACAAAACAAATAATCATGAAAACAAAGATTTGATCAATTAAAAAATTGTTTTCATATAAAAAGATTTCAAAGCATAATTTTCAACACCAAGATAAAGAAAAATAAAAACACTAAAATTCTTGGTTTAAAATCAAATTTGTTTTGGTACCCAAGTAATCTTGGTACCAAAAGGTTTAGGGACATGACCCCTATTATTTAAGCTCAAAGCCCTAGGGTTATGAACCCGTTTAGGCGCATATGGTGCACTAGCACGGTCAAAACAAAAATTATACTCATGACTATTCCGATTACAATTTGTGCAATGAAAGAGATCCATTTGTTTTTGTGGACCATTAGCTCGTGCACGTGAATCATTTGCAAATAAAGATTTTTTTTTAAAAATTATTTTGCAAATGAGAAGCATTCTTAAACAATGGAACATATTACAACTTAGAACCTTTTTGTATATCAAAACAAAATTTAGCAAGATGTCCAAACCTACCACAAACATCACATTTAAAAGTATGTGGTCTATTGGAAGCATTTGTCAAATGAGATTTTCTTTTCAAATCAAAGCAATATTTGGCCAAATGACCAAAACGACCACAATAATCACACTTGAACACACTAGCATGCTTATGATGAACTTTGTGAAAATGAGCATGTGAATGTGTAAGTGTACAAGATGAAGAAGCTATATGAGATGCACAAGGAACATTAGAATTCTTATGTTTGTGTGCATCATAACAAAACTTAGCTAAATGACCTTGACGGCCGCAAATAGAACACTTATAAGTTTTGCTATACATGTGTGCATGATGAGTGGATGATTTCTTAGACTTGACACACATATCCATAAGCCTCTTATGATTATCAAAGCAGATTTTCAAAGTTGAATCTAAAGATGAAATGCGATTATTCATAAGATTCAAATCTTTATTTTTAGGCACATATGCATTTTTAGAAGTAGAACATAAATAGTCATTTATAAATGAAGCAGTGTATCTCTTTCATAAGTTAAACTAGCAACATTTGAAGTTAAAGAAACATGATCCAATTTTAATTTTTTATTGTTTTCTTTAAGGATCACATTTTTATTAGAAATAGTTTCAAACTTAGATGCTAATAACGTATGATCGGATTTTAAATTATTATGCTTGCATTGTAAATCAACAAAATCTTTATGCAATTTGTTAAAGGCATGCAACAATTTTTCACTAGTACAAGCAAGTTCATCACTAGATAAATCATTATCGGGTTCGAACTCACAAACCTCACTAGGGCTATCGCCTAGTGCACGTGTGCATGAAGCTCCATATGAACTTGAAGCGGGATCCTCCAAAGCTTGTCGGATCGCCTCCAAGTCTCCTTGATATGCTTCACTATCAAAATGAACAAACTTGTTAGACATAGATGAATTAAAAGCATTTTGTAAATATTCTAACAAAATATTGTTCATTGTAAACATACGATGATCATTTTTATTCCACTTGGATTTCTCCAAAGTGGGCACAATATAAGCATCATCTATAATTTCCTATAAATCAAAGTGTTTAGATTGAACAAAAAGTTTAAATCTAACACACCATTAGGTATAGGGGAAATTATCTAATCTAGGAGCAATATTGATTGCATAACCTAAACCATGCATATCCATAATATAAAAGGCAAGAAAGATACAAATAAAGCTCAAAATTAGATTAGCACAATAAGCTAACTTGGATCTTTAACTCAAGGTAATTAGATCTTAAATCAAAGAGCACCAAGCTCTGATACTAATTGTTAGACCCTAGAGGGGGGGGATTAGGGTCTTATGCTAATCTAATCCAATTTTATGCTAATTAAAACTAATTAACAAGTTATCCTAGCAAGTGTGAAATACAACAATATATATGAGCTAGGATAAGCAATATGAACAACAAGATATATCCTAATAATGAGATATATGCAATGTATGTGCAAGGATATATAAACAACACAAGGGTAAATAATCTAAACAAGATAGTGGATGATATAATAATGAGCAATGCACAATGGCGATATAAGATATGAACATAAATATAAATGAACACCAAAGCACTCTCAAACATAATCAAATGATCACGGAGTTCGGACCTTCCGTCCTACGTCTCCGCTCCCCACTCCCGGAGAAAAATCCACTATCACAACCGGGTTTTTTACGCTCACCCGAATAACGTTTACACCTCACAATGTCAGTTTTTAACACTCACCGATCAACGTCACTCCTCACAATCGGTTTTCTAGTTCACCAAAAACTTCACAACACACTCGGTT